TGAATCTAATATTCAATTAATCAGTTACAAAATTTCTTTAATCCCTCTCTTGACATATAAAATGTCAAAACTATAAGAACTTTTATGAAAACTTTATAAAGAGAAGTTATAACATCTGTTGTCATAGCATAGAAAGCTCTCAACAACCAAGCTCTTATTTCCATCGATAACGTGTGTTTTTTTCTCTCTCTTTCAGAAGAAGATGCACCTGGACCAGACCTGGACCAGTCCTGGACCAGTCCTCCTGTGTTTGTCTGCGTCTCTTTCCTGTCCCCCAAACCCAGCCGGTCGAGGCAGATGGCCGCCTGTCCTGAGCCTGGTTCTGCTGGAGGTTTCTTCCTGTTAATAGGTAGTTTTTCCTCTCCACTGTCACTAATGTGTGTGAAGAATCAGTTCTACCTGTGTTCCTGTGTGGTGATTGGTGATCTGACCCTGATTACACACACCTGTTGGGGATTTGTCTGATGATCAGCTGCAGCTTTACAAGCCTCCTCCTTCAGTTGATCCACACTGATGCATCTAACCTTTATGGTGGTATCTAGCTCCTAGATTCTATGTTAAAGAATATATTTTGTACTTACCTCATTCATCCTTTGTCCAAGGTGGATTACCAAGATCACAGAAGCCACACCTCATGCTAAGAAGTCCTCACTTCAAGTTGGGTCAGAAAACAAAGAAGCTCACCACGGAGCACTCACAGCCACTCTGCCTGAAGAACTGCCACCTGCCTTTGAAAACCTCCTCCTTTGGATCTCCTCGCCTCTGGAAAATCTGTAAGAAAGAATCACTTATTAACAAGAGAATATTTACAACAAATTACTCCAAGAACCAATACTCACCTTCTACGTACTCCTCCTTTACAGCTGATGTCCAAAACCAAAAACTCCACCTGTAAATAAAACTGCACTTATCTTTTTATTTGTTGTCTTGGTCTGGTCATTCAGCTCTGCTGCTTTGTTGAACAATATCCCATCCTTGTCAATGTGCTGCTCAGGATGGGAGACTGTGGTGAAATTAAGGTTCAACACAATCTGCTGGCTTCTTTACATTTAGACTTTGTGCTATATAAACTAAATTCAATTAATGTGAAATATTTGATAAAAGAAATTAACGATGTAATTATAATTAGGTGTACAAATAAAAAGGCAGGTTGATCTTAACACTGACTCCATGTAATTTATCACAGGGCAGTTGTGTCTAAATGTGTCAGTATTTTACAGCAAACATAAAAAGTTAAGGCTGTACAGCTTTATTATGCACCAAAAACGTTGACAGACCTAAACACAGCACATGGCTTGAAACTCTTAATCAACTTGTCAGTAGACAGATATCTTTCAGTTTTTGTTAAATTATTCACACACAGGAAATGTGGATAATTGTGGCAATTTGTATAACTTAACATGTCTGAAATGTTTAATTCAAATAGACAGTTGAGATTATGATGAAAACTTATATGCTGAATTAAAATGCATTTAAAATATCACCATCCAAAATTTGTTATGTAGTTCTCTTGTATTTTTGTTTGCTCATCCAAACCTTAGTTTATAATGTACAAAATACTTTGTTATATGTTCCCGTGTTCATAGACTAGAGGTTTCGTTTCTTGCATTAAGACAGCATTTATTGAGATTACACTTAAAATATTTGGAAATGATAAACAC